TTTGATCAAACATTAAAAAGAAAGCTAGGATTTTCTTAGCATTGTGAATAAAGAAGCGTGTAAGAACTGCACTTAGCAGGCATCAGCTCCTGAATGTATGAAGCACTAGATTTGATCCTGTTTTCACAGAATTAACTAGGAAAAAAATCCCTTTATTTTAGAAGTCCACTTATTAACTTGCATAATGATTCCCACTCTAAGATGATAGGGATTGTGGTTACATTTTGGTAGAAACGGCCTCTAAATATATTATTTAGGTCATTCTTTGTGTTTCTAAATACAATTTTTCTGAGCTCACAGCATCTAAAAGAATATCTTTAAGGTGAAAGGGAACAGAATTTGATAGGATGTTGTAATGAAAAACAAGAAGTAACCATAGAATTGTAGCCAATAAATGAGTGAGCAAACAGTGTGCAGCTACTGCCTATCACCTCCTTGGTCTGAACACACACACATACGTTTTTATTTTTGGACCTGATGCTCCTCAATATTCTGTTTTCTGATTTTTTTAGATGATAAATACTTAACAGTAGGGATGGATGCTGCTTGTTCAGTGCCTGCAAAGGGAACACTGTGCCTTAAAGAGGACTTTGGGTTATTTAATGGTACAGTGATCCCTTTTTAAAAAACCCCAGTTATATCCATGCAAGTAGAGCTGGGCCAAGCTCAGAAATCCTGTCTATAAATAATCACAATCACTTTAACCCAATCACTCACACAATCAGAGATATCCGAACAATGTGGTTGAACAGTGAGAAATAAGCAATCTACACATATTTCCATTCTCCACTCCTAAATTCAGGGGGTGACCAGAAGGCTGAAGCAGCCTTCGGATCAAATTCAAGAAGTTTGAAGGTCATCTAAGCTTTTGTGAGGGGTTAAGGATGCTCTGAGACCATACCACTAACCTCATATCATGTGCCACCCTGACTCTGCTGCCTACTCACTTTTTACTGCCTTAACTGGCCTCTGTCAGCTCAGAGCTCCTTATCCCTCATCCCTGTCTCCTTACTGTGAATTGCTGAAATGAGAGAAGCTACAAAGGATGGGGAGACTGTGACAGGACAGATGCAAGTGCTGTCTGAATGTATTTCTGCAGGTGGCACATAGCTTGGATCAGGTGACAAGTAGCTGCAGCAGTGGACCCACAAACTGCTTCCCACCATCTTAGTGCACCTCATCTCAAATGCTTCAATATGCAAGAAAACCTGCAAGAAAATTCAGCAATCTCTTCTGAGAGCACTACTGAGTGAATGCTGGAATTGATTAAACACTACCATAGCAATGGAGACTAACAGCTTCACCAAGAAGGGTCTCCAGATCACTTCACCAATGACTCGCTTGCCCAGAATTTGCCTGCCAGTGTTCAGAATGTGAGTATTTGAGGGGATGTCCCAGGTTGCATCCTCCCCTTTGAGTCATTTTCCTGCTTGAATTTCACCAACACTCATGTGGTTCTGTGGCTTTTCATTTTGAGTGAATGAATGTTGCCACCCTTGTTAATGTGGTAGCTAGAGAAACTATCCATTCCTTCAAAAAAATCCTCAACTAGAAACAGACCACCTACCCATTATTAACCAGGGTTACCAGTTAAAAATGTTTGAAGGGGGTCACATGAATGGAGAGCAGTGTGCATGTTTTATTAGTTTGAACAACAAGGGGATAGATGGATGAAAGATAAGGTAATGATTTGTGACAGGGGTCCAAAATTTGATTTCAACAATTAAATTATCCTTCTAAGAGATCCCCAAGGAAATCTATTAAAATACCATCTTCCCCTATCCCCAAAGTATACAAAAGCTGCCTAGTAACTGTCCAGTATCACTGCCTTTGTGACATGTTGGATGATTCCCAAGACAAAAACCATATGCTGTCGGATGAATGGTAGAGCAATCAACAAGGAAAGGCTATTCTTTAAATTACTTGCCAAAAAAAAAAAAAAAAAAAAAAAAAAAAAAGAGAGAGAAACTAATGGCTATGCCACAAAGTTTGCACTAGAACACAGGGTTTGGTTTTGCTCACTTGGTTTTTCACCCGATAATCAGAATTACTCCCAAGTCACAAAATCACATCCCTAGAAACTGTGAGGATTGTCACTTTTGAGGCCATAAAACTCTGCACCAAAGTCAATTCCCATGTTCAGAGGAGCACGTAGCAGTGAAAAGTGGGTTGGCTGATGCTTGATCATCATATTAACCCTTTCATCAGTTCCCTGGGACTGTTATTGAAGTCTAAGCTTTCCCTCTCACCACCACTCTTAAGCTACCTTATGCTACTGTTTTATCTAAGCTTACCCCTCCTGCATAAATATTGTTGTTTAAACCGAGAAGTTTCAGATGTAAAGCATGGAAAAAAAAAAAGGTGGAATGAACTGCTGCATCATCATGGAGATAAGGGAGACTTTTGCTTTGACTTGAACTGCACATAACCTTTTGGCTTAAAAAAAACCACTTGGAGCCAAATGCAGAATACAAAGCAAGACTGAGCAACATGGGACTTGGGTTCTTACATACCTATGTCGCATCTCAGGTGCTCAATTTATTTACTGATGTAAATAAAAATGTATCTGCTGATGATAAGAAAAGAAGCTATGGTGCAGATGTGGCATTTTGAAATACCAACATGGTATCTGATACAAGAAATTAATATCATGCACCCATGTGGCTGGTATCACGGACAAAGCTTGCTCCCAGTCAGTGGCTCATTATAGTTCAGAATACTTCCCTATAGACTACTTTCATCTGACATTATATCAAAAAACTCCAACTTACTCTCTATATAGTGCAACACTACATGTTCAGAAGCTATGAATAAAAAGCATTTTTTAATGACAAACCTCCCCTTTGGGAGGCAAGCATATATCTCAGTTTACTGCTTTGTCCACTCACATGCTCCAAATCCTCAAATTTAGGCATTCACGTAACTTTCATTGAATTTCGTTTTCAGAATAACAAAAACTCATCACAATGTGCAGAATTTTAAGCAAATGAGCAGTTTCTGTTTAGGCAGATGCATACCGTTATGTCTTTGTAGGACCTGGACTTAAGAGACCTGGTATCCAGATACAGAGGGCTACATACAGCTCAGCTAGAACATTTTCAATACCAAGGCCTTCAGGTCTATGCAACTAATCAACAATCTCATAAAACTGCTGCAAAATTCAACAACAACAGAAAAAGAAAAAAAAAAGAAAAAAAAAGATAATTTTTTGCATATTGTGATTTCCCTTCTCTTAGGGAAAACCTCAAACTTTTAGAAAAACTGAAGAAATGTCAGAGTCTGATACCTATGAATTTTCCAGATATGCTTTTCTCTATATATTATTATTTATGATCCTGACACCAAAAACCCAGATTTGAAAACCGCCCAAACCCTTCTCCAGTCTGGCCCCAAGTCTAGTTAGCATTCTGTTCAGAATATCCTACTTTGACTGTGAAAAGGAGCAGTTACCTCTTTCATAAGCTGCTTTAGAGAGAAGAGAAAAAAAAAAAAAAAAAGAAAGAAAGAAAGAAAAGAAAAAAGAAATATTCTGTCCTTGAAAGGCTTGAATAGATGCATACCATTATGGGTCTGGTAAAAGTGACTGGGACAAGTACCTGAAAACATACCGAGGCCAAAACCCCCTCTGATTTACCAAGGTCAGGATTTTACTCCATTGCTCCACAAAACACATCTATGTGTAAATTCTGACAAGCTACTGCCTAACCCCAGGCACAGGTGGGGTCCCTGTTCTAGTATTTCATAGAATCATAGAATCATAGAATCGATTGGGTTGGAAAAGACCTCTGAGATCATTGAGTCCAACCCTTGGTCCAAATCCAGTCCATTTACTAGATCATGGCACTCAGTGCCACTCCAATCTGCGTTTAAAAATCTTCAGGGATGGTGAATCCACCACCTCTCTGGGCAGCCCATTCCAATGCCTGATTACTCTCTCTGTAAAGAATTTTCTCCTGATATCCAACTTAAATTTCCCCTGGCGGAGCTTAAGCCCGTGCCCCCTTGTCCTATTGCTGAGTGCCTGAGAGAAGAGACCAACCCCCATCTTAGAAACCCCCAAGATTTCTAAGGATCCCTAAAGATGTCGTGTTGACATGGGTATGACCATTTAAGTCCTGGTGTCTGGAACGTACTTAAACTACACATAAACCTGCTGAGATACTTCGTGATGTTCTCCTGCTTATTTTGTCTGCAAGACATGACAATCTGTGTTTCCTGTGCCCATCACTAACATGCAAAATGCAGCAAAGAGTTATCTGTAGCCTATATGGTTCCCCACTTTTACTTATTTTGGTTTCCATTCCTGACTGCATTTGTCTTCTTATCTTTCTTATGCAGTTTTAGCACCCCACTTGGATCTGGGGATGCTCCTGGATCATGAATACTCTGGGGTCTTGAAGGTACAGTTTATGGATGTAGCTGTGAGTCTGTCACTTAGTAAATCCTGCATGGGGGTCTACTGTAGCTGGGACTTTAAGGTCATAGTATTTATTTTACTGTGTTTCATGAAGACTTTACTAGCAGTGATGACTCACTCAAGAGTTATACATGGTAATTACCAGGACAACTGAAATTCAAGATTTTCAAGCGGGGGTTTGACTCCTCACAGGTGTGTATACCACACAGGAATGAAATCAGTGGGATTATTCCAGCCTAGTTTCAAAGTAAGACCAGATCATGCTCATTAATTTATACCCAAACTATAAACAGCACTGAAGCATACTGCAGGCGGCTGTTTTTCTTTGAACATTCCTGCTTTTCACCATGGGAGACAAGAAGAAACACCTGCCCTGCTGCAGTATCAGTTGGGTGTAACTACACAATAGATAACTAGGAATTACACAGAGCCTGCTTTCCAAAGTTAGTCCTTTAGTATTGCAGCAGATCCGAACGTGATAACAGGGAACACAATATTTACAGAATTAGTGGATTGTGGCTGTTTTCAAATGGCAATGATCACATAAGGCATGGCCTCAAAATGTTCTACTGTTTCCTATTACCTGTGACAGTGGAGACTGCTGTAGCTCTACACACAAAACTCTTGTCAGGAGATACACATGCAGTGCTTCTTGGTACTTTTATACTAGCCTGGGCCATACAGTGGACACTGACCTGTTGGGAAGAAAAAAATTAAAACAGTTTAATTTTTTTTCCTATTCTGATCATTTCAACAGGTAAAAAAGAGAAGTCTGTAGTTGATATACAGTGTCCAGTGGAATAGGAGACCATTTCTAGGTGTTTGTACTGAAAAGCATCTTTGGCTATGATTGTGGTTTCTGACAAACTTAATTCTTCAGTGACAGACAAAAAAAAGGTCACTTTTACTTTTCTTATGAATAGTTTTTGTCACCTTGTAACTTCCTGGCTTGTTAAAATGACCAGGAAGAGACTGTATGATACTGTGTAGGATACTCACAGGGATTTCCAAATGTCTCCAAAACTTTCCAAATCAAATCCTTTTAACTGGGATTTAGTCATTATTCCTTACTCAGGTGAAACCAACACAATGTAAACTCCATGAAACAACACGTGGTAAGGGAGAGGTGGAAGAGTCCAGCAAGCTCTCTGCCATGTGCCCAACCAACATCTGATGGCACTGTTATGCACTGTGGCCACAGTGCACTCTTTCTCTATCATCCCAAGTGGATCATTTGGAGGATGCTTTGGGTGCATTGAGCATGTCCGGGCAGTAGCCAGTCCACAACAAATGAATGTCTGCTTTGCCCAGCATTCAAGCAGGCAGGATTCAGCCCAGTGACTTCAAATGTAGAGAAGGACATGACACTGTAGAAGCAACGCACAAAATAAGCTAACAAACACACACACATGCACACTTTAGCTTTGATTCTCATCTCTGACTTTCATAGTATGACCCTAGTAAAGTCACTACATCTTCAGATCTCATGTTTCCAGGTGTAAAACATCCATTCATTCTCTATTTAGCACAACAGTGGCTAAATGCTAACCTAATACAAATAACAAGCAGCAGATGTATGCTTCTAGAGAGCCTTTTGCCAGTCATGTTTCCAGTAACCAGGAAAAAATGCTGGTTATTTCCATGAACGGAAGGAGGGGAGCTCAGTCAGGGGCACTCTGTCTCTGTACCTCCTGGATTCCAGCAACACAAGAGCTGCCCATGCCTCCTTGCCAAAGCCAAGGGATTGTTTCCAAATCTGTGAGCCAAAAGTGCGATTATACCTTTTTGGACACACCTCCTTTTCCCCGATTGCTCCTTTCTACACCTCTCGTTCCAGCAGAAATCTCATTGTCTCTTATCTCCCCTCCACAGGATCTTTTCTATTTTTAGCCAGAGTGATGTCAGGTTTTATTTCCTCTTCTTTCTCTCCATCCAGTAGCCCCTAACACAGCCCCCCCCCCCCCCCCCCACCACCACCCTGTGCATTTGCAACAAAAATGTAAACTTCAGAAACTATTTGTATTTCACGGGCACTCACACATTATGCCAAAATGATGGCCCAAAACTTTGGCGGGTAATCTCAACCCCAGAATTCGTGAGCTGATGATGAATGGCTGTGAAGCCTTTGTGATTGCTCAGGCTCCATTGTGGCTGGAACAATGGAGGAGGACACAAGTCTGGCTCAGGAGAGCAACGGATAAAACTGTTGGGGAGAATGGCGGGCTCCTGCCGACATGACCACTTGTTGACATTGAAAGGATTCAAAAACAAGTGAGCAGAAACAGAAACGATTCTGTTCGGCGAGGCTATTAGTTGCAACGTGTGGCAGTGGAGCGGTCACTCCTGATGTGTTTCCTCGCTAATGAGCCCTGAATGCCCTATTAAACTGGGATGCTATAGGCCCAGAGCCACTGGGACAATGCTATGCATGAACGACTCCCCCAGCACCTATTGGCTGCCCGCATGAAGGAAGCAACTGGCAACACTCAGATTTAAACGAGGCTGACAGTACAGTTAAATGATCATTAATTAGAGTTGCTGAACAGATAGGGACTCAAAGCAATTCTTAATGACAAGATAACAGTCTAGTATTACTCAGCTTTGCACAGGTTCAAGCTTGCACCCCATCTCGGTCTTTGTACTGTACAGACGGGTGTCAAGTTGATTTTGGTTTCATTCTTATATTCACAAACCAGAAGAAATCATGATTGTGTGTTGAGGCAGTAATAGAGATTTTTATATGTAAAAATGAAAATTAGCCTGTGATAAAAGTAGATTTTGTGTAGAAGAGTTCACATTAGAAAATGGAAAAGAGAGCAGTAAAAAGAATCACTCTTCTATTAACATGTTCGTAAATGAATTTATAAGAAAGCCACCATTCACCCTTTTTGTGTGCTCTTTCATCAGCCTCTCTCCCTGGGACTTAACATGCTCTATTCATCCAACTTCAGTCCAGCCTTACAACTCAAACTCCTGGTTTGCTTGATCAATCTCTGAACACGTATCTGGGAAAACAAGAGCAAAACTCAGCATCAAAGTATCAAATGTCAGAAGTAAAAAGAACAAGAGATGAACTCTCTGGCTTGAGAGTTCCCCATCCATCGTTTGGGAAGAGCCTTTCCCCAAGAGCACATTATCTCCTAATCACCAGCTTCTGGGCTGTTTGCATCATTCTGTGAAACAACATGTACGGTCCCTTCTTGCAACAGGATATTGGATTAGTATGAGTATGATTTCCTACAAGAAATCCTGTTCACTGAAGATTATTGTTGACTATATATAATTCAGTACATAGCATAGCATATAGTATAGTATCAAGAGGTTCAAAAACACTCAGTATGGTTCTTAAAGACTTACAGGCCCAGGGCATTTGTGCAAGTTCTCCCACCAGGGAACGAAGTGGTGAAACAAACAATGCGCATTTGTGACTAGAATAGTAAAGACCAGTGTTTTGCAGTGTACTTTTGTTTGGCATTGTGATTTTTGTTAGAACATATTTTAAACTGTGAAAAGTATACTTCAATAACCACTTCAGTTCCACAATAGGTTATGTAGAAACATATATGTATATGTTTGATACTGTGAACTAAGAATAAGTTTCTTGATTGAGTCATAAGACTTACATAAACTCTTAATAATACATTATTCTGAAACTTTTTATAACTCTATTTGCACATTTTAAGAAACAAAGATATTGTAAAGAGGGAGGTAGATTGTAGCTATGATGAGATTGTTGTAGATTGCTGAGAAACTCACTTTAGCAATTATTCATATTCCATATGAAATTCTGTGATATGATGCATACAATACCACATGATTACATTCTATGACTCTTAACACACCTCCATACAACCTCTAATACAAGAAGTCTCTGGTCCAAAGCATTTCTGAGCCATCACTGAATGTAACTGCCAAATAAACAAACTTTTGCTTTCATCTCTTCCCTCCTCATCTCTGTTGAAGAGAGTAGCCTTTTTAAAGGAAATAACAATTTCACAGTAGGTGCCACATCACTCAAGAAATGTGTCACATTCTTATCTGCTTTTAATTTTTTTTTTATGGCAGATTTTCTGGAGGTTTTTTTTCTCTTTTCCTTTGAGAATTAGGCAGTGAAAGCTTAAGCAAAGAGAGAAGGATCCTTTGCTGTAAATGAACAATCTGATGGTGTAGGCCATCTCAGTGACTATAGTTGTACCAACTGTAGACTGCCAGTGCTAGCAACATACAGCCACTGCTGCTTCACATGCTGCCTTTGCATGTGTCGGGGGGGGGGGGGCATGTGCACAACGTGAACATACATCTTTGTAAGCCTTGTTATTAGGAGGGATACATCAGTAAAGGGCAATAACAGGAGAAGAAGAAAAAACCACAAACCTATGGAAAACTGAAGCATTTGGTTTCATCACAAAGCTATATCCGTTTCAAACTCTAAATATAGACGCAATGATATTGACTTTTCAGACATCTCTGCCTCCCCCAGAACACTCAATCCAGATTCAGTTTTAGTTTCTCTGAAGGGAAAGGAGGAGAATTACTGTCAAGCCTGGGATTACGGGAAGAATACAGTTTTCCCTTTAGCAGCAGGTCAGCAAGCATTGCTCCACAATCACTACTGAGGTGCAAAACAATCTGTGAAATGGCATACTGCTTAACAGGTTTCAAATCTTGCTTTCTGAGTGCAAAATTTTCCCAGCTAAAGAGGAATCGGAAAGGTAATTATGCAAAGGATAGTATTACTTTTCAGGTGATGTGAGTCTTATCATATTTCACTGATCAACAGGATGGCTGGACAGGAGGATGAGGTGGTCTCTCTGCTTCCCTCTTTATTTTCCCCTTTTCCTTCAACAGTGCTGCCAGCGTCCCTTCCAGAACATACAGACAGACTCAGCAGCAGAGGGTGACGGACTTACCCATTTTGATCCATTAAATGCTGGGCCAGGATATGGCAAAACTCACTCTGACATCATGAGGTTGGGGGTCTATTTTACAGAGGCAGCAGGTGGTCAGGCTCTTTGTCTGGCAGGAAAGGCAGCCTATCTACATCAAATTCCAGCACTCAGACTCTCAATCACGTCTGAATTTTCAGACATCTCAAGAAAATCTGTTCTTTAATTTCTGACTTACAGGCATTAAACATAGCCTCAGACAGTAAATCTCTAGATTTGTTGAGCCTGTCATAACACTATTTTTTTTTTTAATGAACAAATTTTAGGTACCTCCCTGGAACTGTGAAATAACAGGGTTGATTGACAAAGTGAAAACATAGGTCAAACCCTTGCATTATTCTAAAGACACTCACTGATTTTATAATTCTCTGGAGCTTTACATGACATATTTTGTGGGACTCTCCACAAGGCAGGTGAAAACATGAGGGACCCTGTGACAAATACGAGAGGAGGGAGTGACACAGATACAGATTTGACTATTTGGGGTTTTATTAGTATTAAAAATTTTTACAGAAACTGAAAGACAATCATGCTGCTGGGCACTTCCCTCAGAGAATTTGTAAATCAGCTTGTTGTGGTGATATTTGTATAATAATCCCTATTTTACTTTTCCAGCTCAGGCCTCCATCATTCAGGTGGTTGCTGCAATGTCCAGAGGTCCCAGTGAGAGAGGCCCCAGGATGAACATATAGGCTTTATTATGTTAAAGGCCACACAATAATTACATCCTCCTCTTGGCAAAGGGACCATTGAAGACGAGTACTGTACATTTGCTATAATCTCTCCCTCCTTTGATGCCTGGGCTGAGTTCTCATTAGGCCTAATTGGACGTTTACCCTCAGTGGAGGATATACCTGTGTGTTCTCTGTGTCCAAGGACTGCCTGGGAAAGGGGATGGATGGGTCCTTCGGGGAGGCTTTGAGGCCATATCGTGCTGGCCAGATGAAGACCTCTGAGGGCCAACACTTCCAGAGCATGGCTGACAGGCCCCATGAGCAGTGGCCAGGGTTGAGACCTCAGCAACAGCAAGGTAGAGAGCTGCAACATCCCAGAAGCCCCCTTACCTGGTGTGGAGAAGGGGAAAGATGCTGGGTCCGAGCACAGTTTGTTCCAGTGGGTTTAATTACTTCACTTTTTGTAAAGCAGTGTTACAGCTTTCAGATTGGACTGCGCTTTGTTCATGACACTCAGGGACCCTGTTAGACTCCCTGTTATTTATGACAAAGTCAAAAAACCCTTGCTCTTTTGCGTATGCTGGGCTCTATTTTAGTTGTTAAGAGCAGGGTAAATAACATTGCATTTAAGATAAGCTGGGAGGCAATGCATGGCCAGCTTTCCTACCTACTTTATATATCTATTACGTCTCCTCTGTTGATGTAAACCTCAGTGTTCATTTATACTGTCTGAAATGAAAACCAAAACCAAAACAAACCCCACTTTTGTCAAGGAATATTCAAAGGAATGTTGTGTCAGCAAAACTTCAATGAAAGCAAGGAGCATTGAGATGCATAAAAGTATAATGTCTTCAGTCCCACATACTTCTGTACCATATGGCCAGAGAGAAGCAGATGGGCCGGGTCACAGCAGGGGAAGAGAGGGAGAGACTCGGGATTGTTATCTGACCCAGTGGGCCAACACTAACAGGCTGTCCCCAGTGACCAGGCTATTATTATCAGAAAGGGGTGATAAGAATGTGATCCCCACATTTATTTGCCCTCAGGTAGTTCTCACATGTGATGCCCCATCAAAATGACCTTTTTTTTTTGGCAGATGTTTATTTTAGGGCTGGAATGTTGGACTCACAAAGAAGCAATGAATTGCACTTGCACTTGTCTTTTATTGATTTTAGATGCCAGTTATTCCTATCTGTTTATTTGACTAAAGTTCAGAAAGTGCCTTGTCTAAACAAGATAAATTCAACAACAAATAATGTAAAAAGGTATTTTTTTAAAATTATTATTATTGCTGTTACATGGCAGTGTAAACATCAGCCCAGCAAAAATAAACCAGAACAGAATGGTTTCTGTCAGAAAAATTCTGAGATATCTGATATGATTTCAGCAGAAGATTTCTATGTTTCTCGGTGAACTGCCTGGTGTCATCAATAAGAAAAGTTCCCCAAACTATTAAATTGTGAAGTGTAGTTAACTAATTATTACATGGAAAGAGTTTTGGAGGTATTGTTGAAGAAAAAAAAAACAAATGAAACAAAACAAAACGGTACAAAACTGCATGAAAAAATTCTTGCGTATCAAAGTCAGAGATAGAAGTCAGCTATTTCTGGTTGTGATTCAAAGAGGCTAAATATTTCACCAGAGTTGCAGAATGGAACCTATTAAGGGTAGTCACTGCAGGTTTTACTTGTGAGTAAGCTTATCTGTGTTGGATTTTACAGCTCTTCTTCTCAAACACCTTATAGTCCACAGCTGATGCCCACCTGAAGGACTAAGTACCACTACTCTCAGCTTTGCATCTAGCAGACCTCACCAGAGGAGAGTTCAGCATCTGGTCTGCAGTGTAGAGCTCCTGGCCTCCCAGATCCTGGCAGCAGTCCTCAAAATCACAGCCATCCTTGTTCCCACTGCTAAAAAAGGGACCTCAACCATGAACATGAGGGACCAATGCTCTTGCTAGAGTCAGGTCACCCTGTCCCTGCAACATTTGGTTTTGCAGGACACCCAGCATGCCCAATGGAGCAGTGGGTTTCATGAAGTGTCCAGCTCTCCTTCAGCATTTGGGCTGAAACCAAACTCACTTTATACAGATCGTCCAACAGCTGCCAGACTGTCATGACTTTTGGTGAAGCATGACCTTGGCAGATTGGTTAAGTGGAGATGAAAACCACCCTGAATTGTCCCTACAGAGAACAGGTTACACATACAGAGGAACTGCAACTGCAGAAGCAGCGGCCATGCACACTGGCCAAGCAACATCTCCCTAAACCTGTTCCTTCTGGCCCTACTAAAAATACAAGAGACTGAAGTATGTCCACTGCCCACTTTTGTCTGTTGTCCAGAGATGCTGTGGAAAGTTTTGCCTTTGCCACTTGTGGAAGCCAGTACTGTCCATTGGCAGCTACCTGCAGCACCCCTTTTATTGGGCTGCAGGTGGGATTAGCCCATGCGTTGGCAGTGGGGAGGGAGTGCATCCCTCTCTCCCTCCCTCCATCCCAGCCTTGTTGTACTCTACACCCACAAACAGTTGTGACATAAGAATGAAACATTTATTTTTAATAACTGAAAAAGATCACATTTCATGTCTCTCTTTCTACACAGAATGAACAAAATTATCATGTCACTGCTTGGTATCTCCAGCCAGCTGGAATATTTACCAAGGTTTCTTCTGCCCAAGACTGGATGCTGATGTTCCTTTTGGGGGAGTTGTTTCATAGCTGTGACACTTGGCTAAACAATAGGCAGAGAAAGAGAAGCCAATTTTACAACAGTGATACCATTTGCAAAGATATTTTGTAAAATGAAGACTTTGCTGACCAGATATTGCAGTCTGACCTTGCGCACAACTAACTAGTTATTATGGGCTGCAAAAGCAGGAAAGCTCTGCATCCAGAATCTCTAGACCTTATTAAAATGGCCATTTGGGACGCTGTCACTCTAATTAAAACAGAAACTTATTGCTGCTAAATGACATTACTAGTGCTCATAGAGCCTAGGCAGATCATTACCTTTTGCTGAGCCTGGAGCCTCTGGCTGACCTCTGTATGCATCCTCTCCTTGATACACCGTCCTTGGGAAACTCAAGACTTGCACAGAGCCACAGAGATTTGGCCAGAAGAGAGGTAGTTTTCTATGTCCCAAAAGTACAGTGGTAGGTCTCTGGGGTCTCCCTGTATTACAGCACTTCAGGTTGGAGATGTGCTGAGGGAAGGGATCTATGTCTGTATGCATGTGTGCATCTGCATACGGGTAGGGGCAGTGGACAAGGGGTAATCAAGCTCTTCAAAGAGAATTTTGTCCCTCCAGGATAGTCTATACCACTTACCAGTGTTTGGGGCTGTGGACTAGCTCTGGGTCAGGGTCCAATGCAAAATGTGGCTTAGCATATATTTTGCTAAGTGTTATATAGAGTAGTTATTCTTTGCAGACTTTGTGGGCTGGAATTAAACTTTTCCATGACTGACTTTCAATGAGACAAGTATTCCTAAATTACAGGACCATGTAAGGAAGGCCCATTCATCACCTGTAGAGGTGTCAGAGCACATCTAAGAGAAGAAAGGGGAGATATTTGCTGGCTTACCACTCCTGGATTTTCCCCTCTGCTGATAACTTGGTAAGGCTCCTACTGAAAATTAAGGTTATTCAAGGTAATTCAAACATTTCTGGGGTAAAAAAGTCCTGGAGTCCCTGCTGTGAGCACGAGTGTGAGGAACCTCTGAACCTGCACCAGTGGAGCTGGCAACACTGTCGTGGGAGACACACAGCACCTACCTTAGCCATATGCTGCCTGCTCAGACAAATGCCCAGCTCTCTTCTGCTTCTGGATAAGATTTTAGCCAGGTTAAACAGACTGGCATATAAATACAACATGGTCTCAACAGACTACCATTATTTTCAGTTCAATGGAGGCTCATTTGATGTCTTCTTTATTTTCATGTTCTTCTGTCTCTGAAGTATCTTACTCCATTTATTTTAATTTAGTCTAGTCTTAAAAATAATATAAACCAGCTCTGGTTTGAATACCTGACCGATTGCTTTAAAGATGCTCTTTGCTCTTCTGAACTGACTGTCCTCTCTCCCTACTTCCCCTACTTTACAAGAAAAGGCTTCCATTGACTGGTCAGACACAGAAATATTTCTGAAAGACACGCAGCTAGATTTCTGGGAAAGGGAATGATATATTCAGAAACTTCTTAGAGATGACAAAAAGCTACATGAGAGTGCCAAAACTGTGGTTGCTCACAAGAACTCTTTTAACATACATACAGAAACAAGAATGTCAAAGAACAGAGAAGACAGAAGAGGTAAAGAGGGCAGGAAAACTAATTCCCCCAGTATTAAATGTTTAGAGACAAAATACTGATCATTTAATGCAAGCGATTTCCCCTGTTAACCAGGAATGTGATAGAAACAAAAAGTTTAACTCTGCTCAATATACATTGTTCCAGCTTGATGCTGCAAAGTATGCTTCATTACAAGCCAAAAGAACAGCCTTCACTGATGCTTACTTGAATGTCTCAATTTCTGGATTAAGCTGTCCCATTGTTTTGAAGCATAGTTATGGTTTAGAGATCAATGGGACATAGACTATCCTAATCTACTATGAACAGTCTGTAGTAGCAAAGGGATACTCTGCACTAGAGAGCCATCTAAGTCTTCTAATTACTTCTGCGACTGATAGATTGGCTCTTACCCCCTTGAATTCCTTTGTCACTGAGGAGTTAAAATTCATGAGCGTCTATGCTGCTGAATGCTTACTCCAGTGCTGCTATTTTCTGCGCCAAGCTAGCCATCACTGCAAAGAGTTGGAGGTCTGTCAGGCCATCTGTTACATAATAGTCAACAATCTCTAAAATCTGGGGAAACTGAGATGGAGAGAGCAAAGATGATGAAGGGTTTAAAGAGAACAGATTGCTGCCCTGCTTGGAGGGGAGGGAGGCAGGGGGAAGGGGGAAAGCTGAATAATAAGACCTGATGGAAGCAGAGACAAACCTGATTAGCACAGCCAGCAAAACAATCCCCCCAAAATATTAATGCTTTCTCCAAAGAAGTTGATAAGGACACCAGACTGGTGGGGAAAAAATGCTTTGGGGTAGGAAAGTTGAAGGAGGCCTCAAAAAATTACAGCTATAATTTAGGCATTGCCACACACGACTAGGCACTGAAGATACTTCAAGAACATCCTCTAAATCAGTAAAGAAAACCACCCCAAACATTTCTGTCTCTCAGTGTTATACAAGACACTGTCTGCTCTACCACAGGAAAGTAAGTGTAATATTTTCATTCCACGGTTTTCCTTTCCTCCTTTCCCCCTCCCTCTGTAAAGGAGGTGTTTGCTGATTTTGAAGGCATCAGAATGGTGACAACTTACAAGTAGGACTCAGCTACCTCATATGTCTTGCTACTTGTCCACATTTTAAAAAAGACTGACTATATCTGGTGCAAAATGCTTTCAGGAGACATTACCCATTTAACTCCCTCTGCAGCCACTGAAATAGTGAACCACCCAGCT